TAGAATTTACTAAGGTAAGGGTTAAGCTGGGGAGGATGTGACAGATCTTAATGTATTTATGTATTATTTGACTAGGATATCATCAGCTACATTAAGGTAAGGAGGTTTTATTCATTGCTTTGTCATCAGCTCCTAAAATTGTACCTAAGAGCAGTAGTAAATGTATTTCAAAGTACTTCCCCATATCACCCAAGTTTTTGAATCAATCCATTAGTTTTCATTATCCTAGCTTTTCCCCCAAATTCATGCATCTACCAACAATATTCTCTTAGGCATTTCATCTTGTAATAGAAAAACACAGGTACAGCTGCCTGTTGCAAGGAAAGCCAAACTTATAAAGTAGGTGCTGGTGCAAAAGGAAAGAGGTTTTATTCAGGTGCTGTGTGACCTGGGAGAGTGGTAGACTCCGTGTCAAAGACCATTTCCCCTTCCTGCTCAAGCCCGAAGTTCTGATAAGGATAGGGAGGGGAAGCCTTTTATTTTTTTCTATCAAATTGTCTTTCTGGCTTACAGTGTGCTGGGGTCCTGTCCATTCATCTTTCAAGCTTTCCCATTGCTCAGGCCCTATCCATTCATCTTTGTAGTTTTTGGCACAATTGGTATAAGAACCTCCTCCTGTGCTGTCTAGGCCAATGGGTGAGACTCCCTGGTGCTCCCTGACTGTCTGTGGTAGTGGGGAGTGGGGTGCTACAACCCACCATCAGAAACCCTGGAGATGCCACAGCCCTCAGCCTGCCACCTAATGTTGGACATGGTGCCCACACATTCCTGGGAGCTGGTTGGAGTCCTCAGGGCAACTCTGGATCCCAGTGCACCTGCATCCTCCATGCAGCCCCCTCTTAGCACACCCATCCAAAGTGGCCAGCCAGGCCCATGCTCTAGCTGACAACTATCTATGGTAACAATCTGAGAATAAGGAAATATATTAGCATATTATATGTAACATTATAAAGTACACTATCCTCATTGCTCCAGTGACTGGGGGCATATCCAGAGTTAGATTAACATGACTGTGGAGATATTTGCCTCATATATTTAGTTTATATTTAGTTTCTATTGAGTCACAGCTAGTGCTTATAATATTATTAGTATCTAATCTGAAATTTGAGTTCAGAAAAATGAGAATGATATAATCATACTATAAATATGGAGAATAGGTATTATCATTAGGAATTTAATTCTCTTGGAGTAACTAAAATTCTTGAATCATTCTGCAAAAAAGAAATAAAGGAAAAATTATGACACATAATGAGATAGTATGTGGTCATTGAGATATTTCATTATATTCTGGATAGCTATTCTAGTTTGCCTCTCCTGTATTTTATTTTTAAATTGCATGTTCAAAGAAGCAGTTTTCTAGGCTTAGAAAATTATAGGCTTCTATATTTTGGCATCATGATCATTGGGACATTTATATACCTGCATATAATATTGAACAGAAGAAGGGAAAGCTTCAAGTAACTAAAAAATTATTAATCAAGTGTTATTCTAGGAATGGTTGCACTTTTATTTCTCTCTTAGAAAAGTAAACAAGGAATATAATGAATAAACACCCTGTAGTTTTTTCTGTTCCTTCCCAAAATTTCACTAAGACAAAGAAAGTGAGAGGAAACCACTTAAGAAGAGGGAAATTGAGAGTTTTGGAGAGAGGAAACTGTTGAAGAAAGATAGTGAAACCTAAGTGCCTGCTAAGGATATACAAAAAAATAAATGAATTCCCTCAGAATTTTGGATAGACTTAGGAATTTGAGATAACCAGGAATCTTGGAAGCAGAGATCAGGTATGGACCAAAAACAAGATCAGCTGAAAGTCTATAAAAAGAACACTTAGGGCCCACTGCCCAAACCTCCTTCCCACAAAAGATTTGTTATCTGAAGTTAATAAATCAGAGAGACTCCAAATGTGACCTTCAGTTGCAGGCAAGCATGGGGTAAAGTGCTATGCTAAGGAGATTAATACATAGAAACAGCACATCACTCCTTGGCTCATCTCCTGTAATGTCAGCAGTGCGTTGAGGGAGATTGCATGATTCTCCTGTGGATATATTGAACCCTTTCAGGTGGCGGCCAGGGGCAGTAAATGATATATGTTGACTTTTTTCCCAAAGAGAACGTGAGCTTGCATCGTCTTCCATTGCTGGACTCTCTAGTTGTTGGATTCTATGTTAAACTGCAAATTTCCTTCACCTGCAGTTTGTAGTTCTGTAATGTATAGATAGCAGCCTTATATTTAACTGTACCGCTAAATGGTACCATCACGAAGAGTAAACTGGGGCAAAAGGACGGCTTCAACAAAAATCCCTTTGTGCGTTGTTTCTAAAACATTCACGTGGGTGTTTTGGATTGTGAATGCACTTTAAAAAAATTTTTTTTATCCTCACTCGAGGACATTTTTTGCATTTATCTTTAGATAGAGCGGGAGGGAGAGAGGGGGGAAAAGAGAGAGAAACATCTATGTGAGAGAAACACAAAAACTGGTTGCAACCCACAAAACCCCAACCGGGGCCAGGGACGAACTGCAACCAAGTTACATGCCCTTAGTGGGAAGCGAACCTGGGACTCTCCGGTCCACGGGCCGATGCTCTAACTGCTGAACCAAACCAGGCAGGGCGTGAATGCACTTTTTAAAAAGATAATTGAATTATCCCTGGCTGGTTGGGCTCAGCAGTTAGAGCATCGGCCTGTGGTCCAGAGATACCCGGGTTCAGTTCCCACTAAGGGCGTGTACCTTGGTTGCAGTTTGTCCCTGGCCCTGGTTGGTCGTGCGGGTGGCAGCCACTCGATGTGTCCCTTTCATGTTGATGTTTCTCTCTCTCTCTCTCCCTCCCACTCTATCTGAACAAAAAATGGAAAAATGTCCTTGAGTGAGGATAAAAAAAAAAAAGATAATTGTATTAGAGTAAATCACACTCACCTTTTGTGCATTTTCAGCAGTGATTAAATAAATCATTTCATATCTCTCAATGGCTTCAGACACCGCCGTTTTTCTTATTGCTCATGTATCTGTTGTTTAGCTAGGAGTTGGATGATATATTGAGGGTCTGGTTTCAATTTGTATTTTACCTCCTTGTCTGTTTCACATCTCTCATTTGCATTGAACTAGGGCACGTTCTTTTGTTTTTATGATGGCTGAGGTGCAAGAGGGCAAGCTCAGTTGCTCACAGTATAACCTCTGCTTGCATCACATCTGCTGACATCATCCCATTGGCCCAAACAAGTCATGAGTCAGAGTTATGGAGTGGGGAATTCTACCCCAAGTCTAACAGGGAGAGAGCCCCATACAAAAACTGGAGACAATAGCTTTATATGTTATATCTCGCACTCTCCATTGTGGATAAGATCGTAAAGGATTCAGGATTATTGTCCCATCTTAATAAATACAAAGTTACCCCTCACCTTGAGGATTATGTGTTTTATTTCTGTTTTTCCAAAAATATGTATTTTTAATTACCTTTTTAAGCCTCATTGAAAGTAAAATGTATAAAAAGCCATGATTTTTATTTTATATTAGTATGTGTTTATATTGCAGTTATATATTACATATTAGCATGTTTTATAATTATGCTTTACAGTGTCTGAGTACTTAAAACAATTTTTAATAGCATAAGAATAATGCTTATGTATGATTTTGTGATCTTGAAAATGTTAAGAAACTTCCTGTTGCTCGTATTTGGCTCGGGTGTTTTTAGTTTATTTAGGCTAATTTTATTTCCTTTTAACATGTCTTATTGTAATGTGTTAGTTTTTTTCTCTGTTGTCAATAATCATAAAGCTGTTGACCTACTTATTAGTATCATGTTTTAAAATTGTCCTTTCTTGAAAAAGCAGTATGCAAATTATATACTATATTTAGATTAGAGGTTTTCTCTTGGGTAAAAATTTTTTTTGATTCTCTGTTGCTTGGCCAGGAAGTACATATGAAATACTGAATACCAATTTGACAGAAATTAGACAGATGGAAAACAAAGAACATCTGTATCATGGAGTTAGGTATTGAATGGAAGGTTATGAATCCACATACATTGACCATATTAGTCAGATGAACTTAAAAAGGAATAAAACTTAGCTTTACAGAAAATATTTGCCTGTTTTGTTGAAACCCATTGTTTCATGAATGTGTAGATAAATTTATAATTATATAGGATTTTTACCTTAACACAGATTTTGCTTTAGTGTATAGATATATTTCTTATTACAGAATATCTCATTTCACTCTAGTATAGTTTGCGTCTAATTAAATTGTATCAGAATGTACCATTTTATGGAAGAAATATTTACAAGTTCTATTTTTTATTTCATAAAAAAAACTATTGAGTAGATACTATTATTATTCTCATTTTATAGAAGAGAAAACTAATGGACATGGGGTAATTAACTTGCCCAAGGTCATGCAGAATAAAAAGTGGTGGAACCAGGAGTCAGACTCTTACCTGTCTATCTGTTTGACTCTAAGATTTATGTTCTTAATGACATAGCCACATCCTCTAGGACAATAGTTTTCAAAGCTCAGTCCCATAGGTCTCTGAGAGTCCACTAGTAAACAAAGAAGCAGGTTCTTTGGTTTCTATTGTTCTTAATCATATATCAAATTCATTTGAATTTAGTCTCTTTCTCAAATCATTTATAAGTTAGACATTTGTGCAATATTGCTAGTATTTACTGAGGTTAACATGTTTCTAATGTGACAATTTTCTTGAGGATCATAGGCCTTCATAAGTGATGCTCAAAGTCTTTCAGGAATGTGGTCAGTGTTTATTAAGTTGACTACCTACTTAATTACCTAACGTCTTCCTTTTTCATTCAGCTCTTAGTGGAATCTCTGGACTTACATCACGAAAGAGAATGTTGGTAGGCATGTCATTTCCTGGGACCTGTGAACTGTGTTTATCAGGGGTAAATGTTGAATGCAGTTATAGTCTTAGACCTACTTATGTGGTTTGGTGATTGGATGCTAAATCAAAAACTATCTGAATGTGTATTTTCTGAATCTCTCTCTGCAGGATGACGTAGCTTTGCCAAAGACTTAGAAGCTAAGCAGAAAATGAGCGTGACATCCTGGTTCTTGGTGAGCAGTGGAGGCACTCGCCACAGGCTGCCACGAGAAATGATTTTTGTGGGAAGAGATGACTGTGAGCTCATGTTGCAGGTAATTGCATCAGACTCTGTATGTGTCTACTCACAACCTCGAATTGGCATACAATATTTTCCTACTCCTTTGGAGAAGAAGACTACATAGATTGAACTTTCTGGCTCTCCCTCTTTTAGCGCTAGCTATCAGTTTAATTAATTCATTATTTTCTCCTTCATGAATTATTTAAAAATAAGTTCTGCCCTGGCCAGTTTGTTTCAGCAGTTAGAGCATCAACCTGAAGACTGGAGGGTCTCGAGTTTGATTCTCGGTCAAGGGCACGTACCTAGGCTGCAGGTTCAATACCTGACCCTGGTCAGGCTTATGCGGGAGGTAACCAGTTGATGTATCTCTCTCGCATCGATGTTTCTCTCTCTCTTCCCCCTTCCCTCCCTTCTTTCCACTCTATCTGAAAACCAATGGGAAAGTACCTTTGGGTGAGGACTGACAAAAAAAATCAATAAGTTATAAGTTTTGGGGATTATATTTTGAAAAAGGAGAGCTCAAGAGTAGAGAAGTTTATTCTTAAGAAGTAAGAAGTTTCACATTTAGCAGTTTGAAAATAAGACATAAGTAATTTATAAAATTTGCATAATATGAAATAAAGCTGAAAATCATGGGCACTTCAGCAATATTGATATTAGTTTCACTGCTGCTTTTAGAGATGTTCATTGCAACACTTTCCAGTAATTTGAGCATAATTTAACATTTTTGATATTTACTGAATTTGGTTTAAAGGAGTTACTTTTAAAAGATACTTGTAGGATATTTTTGAGTGAGATGATTAGCAGAAACATGAATCTTTAGATGTTTGAAGATTAGATTTTTTCGTGTGTTAATCTTCACCTGAGGATATTTTTCCATTGCTTTTTAGAGAGAGTAGGAGGGAGGGAGAGGTGGGGGGGAGAGAGAGAGAGAGAGAGAGAAGAATTGATGTGAGAGAGACACATCGATTAGCTGCCTCCCTCATGACCCCTACTGGGGACAGGGATCGAACCTGTAACCCAGGTACCTGCCCTGGACTAGAATTGAACCCAAAACCCTTAGGTCCACAGGCCAACATTCTAACCACTGAGCAAAACTGGTCAGGGCAGGATTAGATATTTTAATAGGTCCTGGCAATCTAGCATAAAGTTTTATTACCTTCCTCCCTCCTTTCTGGTTAAAAAATGTAAATAAGAACTTAGAGTGGAAATGTTTATTAGCCCATTGGTTAACTGGGGAATCTTGCCTTCCTAAGGACATTTAGCAATATCTGGAGACATTGTGATGGTTACAAATGGTGTGCATTTGGAGGTGGTTGCTACATCTCACAAGTAGTGACCAAGAGGCTGGGTGCTGGTCAAGTTTGTGCAGTGTACAGCATCCTTTCTCCCACCACCACTAAATACACACTGCAGAGGTTTGTCTGGCCCAAAGATCCAGTGCTGAGAATGAGAAACTGAATTATCTCTTTAAGAATCAAATTTGCGTATGCTTATTACATTTTTACTTTAAAATTAAAGAACTTATTTTATAGTTTTGAAACAATAAAAGTAAAGGCACTGTATAGCTTTGTGAGTAGATAAGTGAGTTGCATATATAATTCCACCTTCATTATACAAATTCAGTGAGAGAAATAGAACAGTACAGAGGTTTTCGGGGCTCCTCAGTGAGATGGAGCGGGAAATATGGCACCTGAGACAGAGGCAGTGATGGTGGTGCTTGCGTCCAGGCCCATTGGAACCGGACCACACCTGAGGTTCTCATAGGGGAAACTTATTCATCAGGGAGTGGAAGAGGTGCTTTCCATGTGTCCGCCCAACAAATGTGGGGATGGCTGGTTAGGAGCTTCCAGGGTAAGTCTCCTCTTACCTGGAAATAAGCAGTGTTACCAGTGGAAGCCGGGAGACCAACACAGGTGCCTGTTCACAGGAGCCGGTATTGGAAAGGAGAGAGCTGCTCAGACAGAACTCTGCAGAGGGTCGCTTTCCAGCATGCTCTGAGGGCTGGTCCGCACTCGTATGTGAGGAAACTACCCAAGGGCAAGGCAAAAGGCACTACAAAAGCTTTGAGTTTCCAGTTCCTGGAACTGACAGGGTCAGGAGTGGTGCCTTCCTAACAGCCAGACTGGAAAACCTCGTGAGTCACTGGGCATTGGTCTCTGCCACCTTGTCGTGGGGAATAATTAACCCCAGACTGAGTTCTATTCTCATCTCAAAAAACAATACCCAAAGCATCACACTGTTGTCAAGTAATTTAACTGTGTCCCCGAACAAAGCTCAAGAATATTTATAGGAATACAGAAATATCCAGCACCCAAAAAGGTAAAATTCACAACTTCAGTATCCAGTACAAACTGAACAGGCTTGTTAAGAAGCAGGAAAATATGGTCCATAATGAAGACTGAGAAAAGAGTTCTTGTTTCTGAAGAGTTTGGCAAAATAAATGGCAAAAACAATCTTGATAAAGATTTTTAAATGGTGATGACCCACAGTGGCAAGCTATCTTTCTCTCTTAAGTTTTTTAGCAGAAGTATCCGTGTATTTCTGAGCCTTTCCTTCCTCTTAGAACTTTAGTAGGAAAAAAAAGTAATATAAGAAGTAATAATGATGTTTAAAAAGTAGCTATTTCATACCTAAATTATATATGACACACATCAGGTAATCATTTGTACCATTTCATGTTTTAGGTTTTAGTTAGAAATTACTCTACTTGAGTCTTGATGCTTTTTCCTTGTGTCTGGCCTGAAATTCTGTTTTATGTTTTGATTTTATTTGATGGCAGGCGTTTTCTTTTTCTTTTTTGCAAAGTAAGTATTTCTTAAACAAATGAAAAAGTGTTTTTGCTTCATTTTCGTACTTTTATTTTCCAAAAATTTGCTGGGTTTATAATTATCTTGTTTGAGTCAGAATTTATTTTCTTTCGGTTTTGTTGTTTTAAGCCACCCAGTTTATAGTTTCTTAAAAGTTCATCTGAACTTGATAATTTCAATAGTTTTGCTACTTTATTATCTAAGAAAGTTTTTCTACATCCATTCCCTTTTTAATCTTTATTATTGAGAGTATTACAGATGCCCTCCCTGTCCCCCACCCCACCCCCTGTTTTTCCTCAAAAAGAGATTGGCCAAATAGCATATATTTTATTTCCGACAAACCTTTATTAAATTAAGCATCTGCTGTGTGCTAGGCACTATGCTGGGTGCTTTGGGATTAATGTGTACACTGATAGGGTCTCTGTCCCTGAAGGCGCAGAGTCTAGTAGAAGGAGATGTTCGTGTAAACAGTATGGCACCAGACAGTAGTGGGCGTTGGTGTGGGGTGCACAGAAGAGGGATTTGGTTATTTCTGCCTGCAAGGAAATGTGGGGATGAGAATCTTGAAAGACTTCATGGAAGGGATGGCTTAAACTCTGAATAATCTTAAAGGATGAATAAATGGTTCCTGGAAAGTTAGAGTGTGGTTGAATACATGATATTGGAGATAGACAGCCAGTGTCTGTTTAGATAATTAAAACAGTTCCTTTAGTTTCATGTGGGATGCGAAGGCAGATCGTTTGAGAATCGAAGGCGCGACGGTAGAAGAGGCCAGGTGTTGGAGGGCTTGCGTGCTAGAGTAAAGGCTGTGCATTTTGCCTTCACCGGTAAGACTCCTGAGGAGCTTTGAAGCGGGACACTTGCTTTTCCTGATCCCACTAACTTCCTCACTCCACTCCTGAACCCCCAACATGGGAATGGCAGGTGAACTCACTCTGTTGTTTCCGTATGTCGTTAGTGTGCTCTACATTTTCTGGTAGTGTTTTGGACTTATTTACCCCCATAAACAATTGGAGAGCAGGGTGAATATCAGATTCAGAATATTCCAGGTTTCTAGCAAGTTGTGAACTTAGTGAAGTGGCCTCTCCTAATTATTTCTTCCTCAAACCCTTTTTCTCCATATGTCTGATGATCTCTGATCCATGTTGATCATGTCCCTCAAAAACGGCCATTCCCCGGCTTCATGAGCAGCCATCTGACTTATTTCCATATCTAAGATTAACTTCACTTTGTGATTTTCCTTTCCTCAACCCTCATTTAGATTCTTTCCCCTTAAATTTCAGTACACTGTTCTGAGAGCTTTTGCTCTTTCTTTATTATATTCTCACAGAGAGGTTATTTGTGATGATCCATTCACTACTTTTTGAGAGCCTCCCTGAACTTGAAATCTCACTTGCTTCACAACATGTAGAGATTTTTATCCTTAGACTAATTCAACTTGATAAATCCATAGTAAGGAGAAGCTATGTTCCTAGTGGTACTACATTTACTTTTGTCACCCTAATAACTGGATTTACTACTTCATTGGTTTCCACAGAGCAACAGATTAAAGCACAACAATAAAAACCAGAGTGAAGTTTGAGTGATTTTTAGATTTAATGCAAGTGTTACAGTGAATACAGCTGTAGTTTTGCCATAGTCAGTGGATTTTCATGTAAGCTGTAGAGAAGTGGCAATGACACTACTATTTATAAAATTCCCCTTAATTCTGATTTTTGCAGTTTTTGCTAAAGATACTGAGATTTCAGAGAAAACAAAATAATGCTAGAAAACAACCTTTAAAACTTTTAAGAAGACCAAGAGTGTAGGTATGATTATTGTTTAGGTTTTGTTGGAAGATTGTTTTAGGTTATGTACTGTTTCTTCCTAGTGTCAGTTACTTCAGGATAGAGGTTTGTATTCTAGAAGGAAAGGCCAAACCTTTTTTTTTCTTTTTTTATTTTAAAATAATTTATTTGAAGGTCATTTATAGTTTTTCAATATGGACTGGGAAAGAGCTTTTATTTTAGTAATATTTACTTGGAAAGGATCATTTCAACTAGGATTTACATCTGTATTGTTATTTTATTACATCCATATTGTTATTTTATTAAATGCTGACGTGTTCCCCATATGTAGCTAGGAGTTAAGCTCTGTTTGGTTGCTGTAGATAAAAAGTGTCAGAGGTTGACGTTTCCTCTAAATGCCCTTGTTTTTCTTTCCCTATTGTTTTTCGCATTTCCCTAGAGACTCCTTCTTAAATAATCTGAGTAAGGCTTTGTTTTTTTTTTTGTTTTTTGTTTTCATTGTAATCCCTTATTATGTATATATATATATATTTAAATTCCTGTTGAGGTGATGGTAAGGTTTGGGGGGAGGGGAAGCATTCTATGATTCTGTGAATTTTGGTTCTCAGTCTTTAGTGGGTCTGTGACCTTCATAGGTATATCTCACCTATGAAGGGGTTGAGTAACTCCATCCTCCTATGTCTGCTAGAGTCTGGTGACACCCATGTTGCTTAAGCTCTGGTAAAATAGTTTTCCTTGAAGTCATATCGTTGGTAAGACCAGTATAGTTACTTTTCCCCTCACCCCTCCTGAAGCAGGAGAAGATTTCTATCTTCACCCTGAGATTTTTGTGGGCATTCTAGGGGTAAAACTAATGAAAAAGTGGTGTCCCCTCAAGGCTGTGCCCCTAGGGGTTTTTATCTCTAGGTCAAACTTGAGTCTCCAGCAATTAGTCATGTTACCTTTAAGTTTTCCCGCCAGTAGCTGGCTGGAGAAATGGTTTCTGCTTAGAGTAAGCTGTGATTCTCTGTATTTGCCTGTCTCTCCAGTTTTTACGTTGGCAATTGGTCTCATGACCTCAATTCTCTGATGAAAGTAAAATGAGATTTTGATTTTCAGTTTGGTCAACTTTTTTCTTGTGAGAATGTGCACAGTGACTTCCAAGCTCTTTTATATGTTGGACTAGAAACTGGAACTCATATCTCCTCCCGATTTTGGATACTTCTTAGGCTTTTAGTATATCAAAGTTCACATAGTAACCCCATGTGAAGAAACCCACAGTAAGAAACGGTGTTGAGTTCAGATTCAGTGATTCTCAGACTACTCGCTGTGACTGTACTGTATTTGTTTCCTTTCAGTAAGTTTCCACAAGCTTATAGTTTATCTTTCCGGCGCTTCCGTCTAAAGCACTAAGCTTGGAGGAGGAGGGAAGAACTTTAAAGAGACTTAAAAACAATTTTCAAAAATCCGTTTGTCATTTTAGTTCCTTTTGTGACTTTCTCCTTTTCTCTCAGAGTTCTTTCATGAACCCCAGTTTTAGAATCCATGTTTGAAGTGAGGATCGTTCTATTCAGGAACGTGGCACATTGTGTTCCTTTTCTCTAAATCTTTGGACTCCTTAGACAATTTATATTGTGGTTTTCAGTATTAAAAAAAGAAAATCCTATGGGGTAATTTTTTTACAATATACATAAAACAAAAAATTATAATTCACGTGATTTCCATATAATAATTTCAGATTATGAAAAAAAAATTTATACATTCAACAAAGTCTGCTGATTTAAATTCTCTCAAACGTAGAATGTGTGAATTCGGTAGAAAAGAATACCTTGAAATTATGGCTGCTTTTCTCTTTGGAGAGTGATGCCAAGTTTCTGTTGTATAGTAACACAGTTTACTTTTTTTTTCTTTATTGATTTCTCTAAAAATCAAAGAGAGGAAGTGAGAAGGAGAGAGAGACAGAAACATCAATGAGAGAAAACATTGATTGGCCGCCTCCTGCATGCCCCCTACTGGGGATCGGGCCCACAACCTGGGCATGTGTCCTGATCCAGAATCGAACCAGCAACTTCTTGGTGCATGGGTTGACGCTCAACCACTGAGTTACACTGGCTGGACAAGTTTAAATATCATTTAATCCACTTGTACTCTGATCTACTACCTATTAATATAAAGTATCTAGCTGAAAATCTTTGTGCTTGTTACTTATTCTGGCATTTGCTTATCTGTATTAACTTGAAGCAATGCCTTTCAGTCTCGCAGTGTGGACAAGCAGCATGCTGTGATCAATTATGATGCCTCTGCGGATGAACATCTGGTTAAGGATTTGGGCAGCCTAAATGGGGTAAGTTAAGAATTTATCTTTTATCTTACTTGATTATCAGTGTAAGGTTATAAGAAGACAAATCAGATTACATTTCCTATTTAGTTTGCATTTTACTTTTAAATGCTTACTAGGTACATAATACTTTGGGGACCATACAGTAGAATATAAAACTAACCCATGTTCCCAAGAAATTGTATAGGCAGTAAATGCAAGAATTCAGAAAGTTTTTGGTTATTATCATTCTGATCTGTAATGTTTAAGAAAGTCTTCTTTGAGGGGAGAGAGGAAAGCTTGACCTCACTGAAGGGCTTGAATTTCTATGTGGGAAAGCAGTCGAGAGCCATGGCAGTAAGAATGCAGAGCAGCATACTTGGGAGACAGAGAAGTGTGGGTTAACTTCAGAAAATAAAGGTGGAGATGTGGTTTGGTGCTAGATGGTAGAAGACCTAGGACCTTTTACACCAGAGCAAAAAGTGACACACACCCATTTACCTGAACAACTATGATCTAAACACCTGTGTTCATTATTGTGGCTTTGATTCCTACTTTGAAGATATGTTTGTGTTATTGCAGTGAATTCTTTTCCTAATTCTTCATTTGCTTTTTCTAGACTGGCAGAATATAAATAGCCACAGAATAAGAAAAAGCTGAAATATTGAACAATGTATCTAATTTTTTTCTCAATTTTCTTCTGGCTCTACTAACATAAACAAATATAGTATTGTTCATATCTGTGCTGTTGAATATCTTAAAATGAATGTAACGAAAACCAAATGTATCCCAGTCATTTCTAACTGCTACTGCTTTTCAAATATACATTAAACATTATATGCAAAAACATATGCAGAAAATTGGCAAATGCAGTAAAACATTTTTTCTTGTTCTGAATTGGCCCACTACTGAAGGACTTGTATGTTTATTCTTTGAGATAATTACTTTGTAGGCATGTTTTTCTGTTGGTTTTACGCAAGCCTTTGTTAGTTTCTCATAGCACACAGAACGAGGTCTGCACCCTTCAGGTTTGAACTGAAATGTCTCACATTTGGCATCACCCACATTTTTAGATTCAGACTCCAACACACTTTCTCTTGCCATACCTCCAAAATAGTTCATACTAGACTGTCTCCTCCGAAAAATTTGTTAGATTTCCTTCAGCCTAGTACTTCTCCCATCTCCTTGTCATTCATAAAATTCGTACTTATTTGTAAAAGTAAAATCCAAATTTCACTTTTTTATGAAGGAAGCCAAGAAAAAGTACTTAAAAATATTAACTTGCTGATGTTGTTAACATGTTGAATGGATTAAAGTAGAGAGACTCAGGCAGACTAGGTAGAAACTGTTTTAACATGAGGCAAGTAAGGAAGAAGGAAGCGGTTTTGATTTCCAGTTCTTATTTGCAGAATTACTGTCTTCCTTCTCTGCACCTATAAAACTTTGTTTTAATCTCTGTTTAGGGTGCTTGATTCTCAAGCTTGTATTAAATCTGCGTTTGCACTCTGTCGCTGTACTGCACTGTGAGCTCCTGAACAGGTCATATGTTTACACGAATACACTGCTGTGCCTAGCGCGGGGCTCTGCGTGGTGTGTGAACCTACTCCCTCTTTTTTTAATGAAATTGAATTAATTTTTTATGTGAAGGACTTTATAGACTTCAATCTACGTCTGTATGTAGAATATTTTACTACTGTTACATTCTGTTTTTAAGTCTAGAAAGTTTTATCTTGACCCCAGTGGTGTTCAAAGGTGTCTTTACATTATTATCTTGGGAAATAAGGAGTGAGAATTACATCACAGTGTAATTTGTAAGAGACTATGATGAACTATAAAAATTATTTGGTGTTGGTTGTAAAATCAGGTGAAATATTAACTTCTAAGTCTCTGTAGGCTGACTTTTCTCATAACTTGATTGTATTGAATAATTTCATGAAATAAAATAACTCACAGAGAGCAGCATCTGCATTTGAACTTGACATCAGGACCTGGATTTGAATCTCATTCTGTAATTTACCAGTGGTCTAACCTGGGACAAACCACTGAGTCTCTCTGAACTTCAGTTTCCTCATATGTATTCATATTAGTTCCCCAAGTTGTATGAAAGTATAATGAATTGAAGTTTATGAATTTGAAAACTCAGTGCAAAACGTAGTGACCTTGCTTCAGCTTTAAAACAGTGAAACAGGAATTCCTGTAAACTGAAAGGAGTAGCTGTGACAACACATGTGGCAGAACTTCAGAGCGTCACACAAATGATAAATGTACTGTCACCCAAATGACAGCCTAGGAAATATGCCAGAACTGACTTTGGTAGCCAGAGTTTATGAACTGCCAACTCTCATGCATTTTATGTATAAGAGAATGTGTCGACTATTGTTCACAGCCTACTTTACTCCTAATATTCATATAATTCTAGAAAAGTGAGCATCCGGTTAGAAGTAGTAATTTCGGAAGTAAAGGGGATATACGTGTTGGTTATGAGCCCACTTGAAATCATACAAGTGATGTCATCTCAGGTTACTTAATTCTTCTGCTCCTCCGTTTTTGTTTTTGTTTTTAAATAGAAATAGGAAACTGGTAATCCTCTTAGGTTATTGTTAAGCTATAAGTAAGTTAATAATTTTAAACACCTTTAACAGTAAGCATTCATAAGTGTTAGTAGTTGTTATGGCAAGAACAGCAGTTAAAACAGGTTCAACACCCTGTAGCCTATATACTTCCCCATAAATATACTGTTGCATTTTTTCAAAGCATTTACCAACTAACCTCATTTTTTAAAAAACTCTCCTTGTGACCACTTTCACTCCTCTCTTTAATTTTACCCTAAAATACACTCCCAAGAGACCTAGATGTACACTTGATGTTATTACTACCAGAAACGAGGTCGCTGGGCCTGGGGAAGCAGGAACTGAATCTGGAGCTGATGTACGTTCTGAGTCATTTCCCTGCAAGGCCCTGAAGCTTCTGAGAACCTTGCTTGCCTTCGGTTCTTCCCGCCTCCTCCCTCCGCTGGAGCATCGCCCCTCTGATACTCCAGGCCCTGTGGTACCACTCACATCCATTCCAGCCCCGCCTGTGGTTACCCGGCTGCCCCGCTCCCTGGGCTCCAGCCCCTGCTGCGATCCCCTTCCACACCCGTCCTGTCAGCGCCAGACCCGCGTGGCGGGGAGGGTGAAGATACAACGGGATGGTTGGGGAGAAGAGATTTGTCGCTGATTGAAGTGGGGTGCTCCTGGCCACTCCGTTCAGATTTCCAGAAGCATTAACAACAGTATATGGTGGTCATAAGATTTTATACTTTCAATTATGTAATTTAGTCGCATGTAAATTAAATAGGTATTTATCTGGTTAGGTTTGCTTCGATGAGGTTCTTGGTTTGCATGGGGGAGTTTGGGGAGCCGGCCTGGCTTCGCACCCAGGCTTCCTTGGTGTGGAGAGAACGTGAGCTTTGTAGCTCAGAGACCTGAATCTGATTTCACAGTCCCGCCTGCCAACGTGGAGATCGGACTGTGCCTTCACTGTCTGCCTCCTGGTGCTCCCTGTCCTCCCTACCAGGTTGAGGTCTGATCAGATGACACATAAGAAACAAAACCTTTTTCTTTCCATATTCAATGTATTAAAATGCGTTATATCTACTTTAACAAAACGAGTTTTGCTCTTTGACATTTTCTTTCCTCCTTTTATACTTCTAGACCTTCAGGGGGCTTTCCCCCCAGTGTTTGCACTTGGTTTTTGTGAGCTGAAGCTTGTAATTCCTAAGACTTTTTACACTTAGGGACTATTTTGGTCACAAATGCCCCCTTGTTAAAAAGACATGTTTGTTGATCTCTGAAAATACCTGGTCCGTGTGTTAAACACACAGTAGGTATTTAGTGTTTAAGAGGGTTGATCAATCTTAATCTTTACAGTGAATTTCCTAGGTCATCTTAGGCATTTTGAGTAAATACAGTGTTTTAGGTTGAGACATTTAAAAATAAAATTGGCTTAGAACTGTGCTATTCTTACACATTGCACCTAATTGTTTATGTTCTGCATACTACACATCAGTGAATTACTACTGTTTGTAGTCTTCTCTTTTCTTTCATTTTCCTTAGCTTTTCTGTTTTGTAATTATATATAAAGTAATTTGGTAAACTTAAGAGATAAGCCAAAGAACTTGTAGGCATGTGTGAATAACCAAAGGACATAGACAACAATGCTAGGCTGGGGAGCGGGACAGGGAGGAGGGTACATGGGGGGAAAGGGAGAAACATCTGTAACAAAAATAAAGTAATTAATAAAAAAATGCAAAAATATATATATAAGTTTTAAAATACTCTAAAATATTTGTTTTTGAAATTAGAGTTTTAAATGCCTGATGCCTTTGAATTTTCTTTATATTAACATTTCAACCTTTCTGTGGAGCATGTGGCAAGCATACGATTAGGATTACTCATAAACCAGGTAAACTGAGGTGTGCTCTCAAGTTGTAGCAGTCTTCCACTGTCTCCAAATTTCTGTGCTTGAAATAAAGATTGCAACTTCTAATTTTCTTTTGTAGCTTAGAAACTGGTATCTGTGATGTATTGCCAAGTGTCAGTTATGCATAGGGATTTGAGAATATGACCATAACAGCATAATTCCCTTATATATTTTACTGACAGTCATTCAGGGCCCTTCTAAACTTCCTCATTACGGAGGGAACTTTCCTAAGTAAGGCTTCAGGGCCATCTTAAATGCAATACAATAGAAGATGGAAAAATGGAATTCAAGAGGAAAGAGGAAAGTAATTTTTAAAGTTCCACTTACCGAAGGAAACCTTGTTGGGTGTATTATATGACGCCTGCATTCTGGGCAGTTGAGTACAACGTTGTTCTGTGTTCTGTAAATCTAGCAGATTATAGATCCTTCACTTCCAGTGTACCAGGAGTAATCGTCGTTACTGTTTACCTTCTGTGTCCAGTGGACCCTTTGACTTGTCACGAATAGCTTATAGAAGTAAGCATAAAAAGATAATGGCACACAATGTGAAATTTTAATAAAACATTAGGCATGACAAACTCAAATTTTTATTCCATATTCTGGTTTTGAAAGGTATATGATCACAAATGATTTATGTTCTTTAACTGCTATTAACTGTTCATCATTGGTCATGCATTCGCCAGGGATAGATATATCCATTTTATGAATGTCAAATCCAGATTGCAAGTACACCTCTAGCTGGTATCTCGTTTATCATTATTTCTAGTTCCTCTTGTTCTTGCATTGTCAAAATGCACTTTTTAAAAATCCTCACCTGAGGTTATTTCTCCATTTATCTTCAGAAAGAGAGGAAGGGGGAGAGAGAGAGAAAAAAGAAAATTGATGTGAGAGAGACACATCGACCAACCTCCTCCCACACGACCCCAACCAGAGCTGGGGACTGAACTGCAGCCGAGGTACATGTCCTTGACTGGAGTTGAACCTGCGACTGTGGTCTGGGGGCCAACGCTCCAACCACTGAGCCAAACCAGCCAGGGCAAAAATGCATTATTTTAAATGCATTATTTGACAGCTTAAAATCTTACTAAGAGGATGACCATCTTCCACAATTACAGAACATTTCTTAGTTTTAGGTTTATAAACAGTAGAAGAATCATGCAATTAGAACTAACCTAATCATTATGTTGTTGTTTGTTTTTTTATCCTGGCCTGAGGACATTTTTCCATTTTTGTTCAGATAGAGTGGGAGGGAGGGAGGGTTGGAGGGGGTAGAGAGAGAGAGAGAGAGAGAGAGATACATCAACGTGAAAAGGACACATTGAGTGGCTGCCTCCTGCATGACCCCAACCAGGGCCACAGACGAATAGCAACAGAGGTTTTTTCCCTTGATCAGAATCAAAACTGCGACTCTTTACTTTGCAGGCCGACGCTCTAACCACTGAGCCAAGCCGGCCAGGGCTAAACCATTATGTATTTAAAGTAACCTAAACTATTATGTATTTAAAAAAATATTTTTAATGGATTTTTTTCATATTTTGGATGCTTGTGAACTAACCTTTATATAGAGACCTTCCTTAAGCATTTGCCCACTTACAAACTAAATCAAATAAGTGTTGCTTGGAACGCAGGCATCAAAATGTGAAAGAATCCAGTCAGTTTTTTTAAAAATACATAACGATTTAGGTTAGGTTTTGTTGAAAATATTGCATGATTCTTATTGAATTGCTAACTGGATGAAAAAGATCCTACATATTTTTTGTCCTTCAAACATTCTTCTCTCTCCTTGCGTTAGAGAAATTCTTACGTTAGAGAAAATTCATCTCGGGTTATCTTCATCTGAAGACTCATGGTCTGACAATTTGCTTACATTGTTATCAGTTTTATCTTTGTTATTAGAGTCTAGAGTGCCGCTATCTGTCTTTTTGAATTTATCTTACAATTGAAATATCTTTGTGTTTTCTTCTTTCCTTTATGGATATTAAATGAAAAATTCTGAATTCTCAGTTGATAACTAAACCAAAAAAAAAGGACAAAGATAGCATCTCCAGATGTCTTGTATATCTTGGAAAGATGGTACAGTATTTTGGGCAGTGCTGTGAGAAAGCTGAAGGTCGGTGCAGTAAATGCTGATTGACTTCCTGATCGCATCACCCTGCTTTGCACTCCAGTTGCCACGAGCCATGTGTGGCTGTTGAGCATTGAATGTGAAGAGTCTAAAAAAGTACTAAAAAACAAAACAAAAACATGGATGTAAAATAATCTTGTTATTTTTTATATTCAGTATTGGTTGGAATGGTACTATTTGGACAAATGGGTCAAAATAAAAGTATTTATTAAAATTCATTTTACCTCTTTAATGTGCCCACTAGAAAATTTAACAGTATATGTGTGGTTTGCAATACATTTCGGTTAGAGAGTGTTTATGTTAAGTGATTTCATTATTGTCTTTTCTTGTTTTGGTCATTTTCAGCATAGTTAGAAATAATTGATGAGTAATGAGAAATAATTACCAGATAGTGAAATAGTAGAATGTTTTATGATACAGGAAAAATAAGATAATGTAAGCTCTCATATGTATCTTAGGGTATGAGAAGGTCCAAAGGACTCATCACAACTATAAAATAGAATGAAATGTTTTCAGTTTTTTTAAAAAGTAAATTTTCTTGTGTTCTTTCAAAAAAATCTAGGAATAAAAGTAATGAAATAGCAATCCTCAGAAATAATTAGGCTTGTCTAAAAAAACAAACTGAGTTCAGGACATTTCGATGACATTGAGAGTTAAGGACACTTTACAGTTTGACAGCTTTAGGTTAGGAGCTTTGCTTGGCAGCATTTTTAGGTGCTAGATTTGTCTTGGCAGAATGGCAGACTTCGGATCTGCGCTCTGGTTCTCTGTGTGTTACTAGTAATAGAGGTAAAGGGCTTAGTATGGAATATTTTATCAGTGTATAAGATGCATGACACATTTTATGATACACAGACTATATTAGGCACCATATGATGTGTACTTCTAAGTATCAGTTTTGAGTATTTGCTTGTTTGAAATGCAATAATTAATGCTTCATATGTAACCTAACATCTTTTTTTTTCCTTGTAGACTTTTGTGAATGATGTAAGGATTCCAGAACAGACTTATATCACCTTGAAACTTGAAGATAAGCTGAGATTTGGATATGATATCCTTATATGATTTTGTGCATTTATTAAATTTACTCAAAAATCTTTACTCTGGTGTACATTAACATTTCTTGAGACATAAAATTTCACAACATAGGCCTGCTAGAAGTCTCTGCATTCCCATACTAAAATACATGTTTGAAAATTACATATTCTGTTGTTGTTGTTGTTGTTGTTGTTGTTACTAGGCCTGTCCCTAAAAATAATCCTGGAAAAATTGATGAACTCAGCTTCCTCACCCCCCTCTATTTTTAGCGGAGGTCTCCTTGCAGTGCTATTACATATGTAATTTGGATATCAAAGTCTGTAACTGGGGAGAGGACAGGGGAGTGGCTAATCTTAGCCCAGCCCAACAATTTTTTTTTTTTTTTTGGTTGGATGATAAGGGCACAGATTAACCTCCTGAGAGGAATGTACTAATTTAACCCTGCCTTGCCTTACATTCCCACTTTTATTCCATCTCTTTGCTTATTTAATTCAGAATTGTTAATATCTTATGTCTTTTAAGACCCACACTCCTGGTTAAGCACATTATGCACTTAGTGTGTATTTTTAAATCTTTTGTTTAAAAATAGGATTCTAAAAACTGACATGACTATGGTAGGGCAAAGGATCACTGTCAGAGAGAAGAGACATGATTGATTAAAGAAGAATATAAACATTTATCTATACAAAACAAAAAGCTTTGTATAAAAGATTTATTTATATATTTAAAATTCAGATATTTTACATTATGCTGAATATTTTTCATGTTTTCAATTACTACATTTACCTGGAATTTCATATTAAAGGTATTGGCTATTTGGATGGATTTTTATCACTAGCAGAGAAAATTTAATGTCGGATAAGTAGAGCTGATACTTAGATACAGTAAATGTACTAACATTTAAAAATCATTCTTAGAGCATAACTAGTTTTTATTTTATATTTAAACTTTATGAAAAACTAGTTTTGCAGCTCATCACATAACCTTTCCGCTTGTAGAGTCAAGGGAATGTGTGAAAAGTGAAACCATTCAACATTAATACTTTTGAGTTGTATATTTTATATTCTTTTTGTACTATGTATCACATAAAATGATTACGAATTAGCATTAAAACCTTGATTCATGGGACATTTTCTACCAGCGTAAGAAGTTTCATCAAAAAATAATCAGAAGTTTACATTATATTTAAGTAAAACCATTTGGTACCAGCGTTTAAAAACATGAGAAAATAGTAGGAAATATGGGTTTCAGTAAAACTCTATAAACTTTACTTCATATTTTAAGTTAGGAAGGAACTGTGGAGCTATAACTCATGGTTTACAGATTGTACAGTGATTACTTAATAGTGCACTAACATTTCCTTTTTATATACAACCTAGTATGTCTCTCTCAAATTGCTGGGGGAATTGTTTTGTTACAAATTACTTTTCAGAGTTGTAAGTCAGTGTTGAGTCAGAACTACAAACCAAATCCTCAAGTCAGACTCAGTTGATTTTATTATTTTAAAATAGCGTCTCATATCACTAATGAGTTTTGAGCACTATATATAAATGAACGTTAGGCTGTTACAGTAGTAGAGATTTTATTATATGGGATGAAATTTTAAAAAGTAAATTGTAGCCCTGGCCAGTTTGGCTCACAGATTAGAGCATCAGCCTGAGGACCGAAGGAAGGGTCACGGGTTCGATTTCAGTCAAGCGCATATACCTGGGTTGCAGGTTTGATTCCCAGCCCTGGTTGGGGTCTCTCTCACATTAATGTTTTTCTTTCTCTCTCTCTGTCTTTCTCTCTCTCTCTCTACCTCCCTCCCTTCCATTCTCTCTAAAAGATAAATGGAAAAATATCCTTGGGTAAGGATTAACACAAAAATAAAAATAAATAAAAATAAGTAATAACATTACCTTTACTTGTTCTATATTTAGCTATATCAGACTAAATTAATTATTGTACTTTATTTATATTAAAATTAAGCATAGTAGCCAATGTACAGACTGTACTTTGCGGTGGAAAACTACTTTATTTAATTAAAATGCTACGTCAATAGAATAAATTGAGACTAGAACTAAGAAACAAAATTTATCTGCCAAAAATATATTTTTTAACTAGAGTAATTAAATATTTGGAAAAGCAAGTAAAATAGCCAAGTTGAAGAAATGACTATAAACTCATGATAGTAAATAATGCTGCAATAATCAAGATAAATTTCAAAAAGAGCTAATAAATTGGCCAAAAATGGAACAGATAAGCAAGCCTAAGTTTGTTCATTTCAAAATTTCTTACTAAATGTCTCCTATGCCCTGGCCGGTTTGGCTCAGCGGTTAGAGTGTCAGCCCGCGGACCAGAGAGGCCCAGGTTCAGTTCCCACTAACAGCACGTACCTCAGTTGCAGTTTGTCCCCGGCCCCGGTTGGGGTCATGCAGGTGGCAACCAGTCGATGTGTGTCTCTCACATCAATGTTTCTCTCTCTCTCTCCCTCCTACTCTATCTGAAGATAAATGCAAAAATGTCCTCGGGTGAGGATAAAAAAAAAGTCTCCTATGTGCTAGGTATAGTTCCCATAGTCTGGAGAAACAGTGGTGAATAAAACAGACCACAATCTCTGCCCTCCTGTAGCTGACACTTGAATGGGTTTGGAGAAAGCTTATAATGCGCACAAAAAGGATAATAGAGAGGGTAATAAGTTTTACGTAGAACAAGTGAATGGAGGATACAGAGGACTAGTGGTAATGAGTGAGAAATTAGAATTTTTAAAAGGATATTCATAAAGACCTCACTGAGAAGCCAACATTAGAGCAAAGATGTGGAGAAAGTGAAGGAGCTGGCTGGCCATGACATAATCTGGAGAAACTGCTTTCAGGCTGATAGAAGAGTTAAGAGCCAAGAGCTTGAAGCAAGAACATGTTTGTCATGTTTAAGAAACAGCATGAAAAGTCAGTGTGGCTGGAGCCAGTGAAGAGTAGGTTATGGGAGGCCAGAAAGAGAGCTGCATTGTTATTCGGAAAAAGTCACATCTTTTAAAGAGATTTAAAAACTTGATTGATTGATTTTAGATAGGAAGAGAGAAACATTGATTTGTTGTTCCACTTATTTATATATACTCCCATTGGTTGATTCTCGTACGTTCCTTGACTAGGAACTGAACCCACAACCTTGGCATGTCGAGACGATGCTCCAACCAACTGAGCTCCCTGGCCAAGACTTAAAGAAATTTAAATGATAAGAAAAATATTTTATATTTTTATGCCCATTGTACTCATATCTTAAACCAGTGTAGCTTACTTGTCTCATGTTCTTCATATTTATAGATTTATATTTTTATCTGTATCATTTTCCTTCTGCCTACGGGCATCCTTGAACATTTCTTGTATTATAGTTTTGCTGGTGATAAATTCTTTCAGCTGTCTAGGAAACTATTTCACCTCAGTTGCTGAAAGTTATTATTGCTGGGTATAGAATTCTAGGTGACATTTATTTTCTTTCAGTACTTTAAAGATGTTGCTCCACCATATTCTTACTTGTATTATTTCCCTTTATCCAAAGTTTTGAGCAATCCAGGTATGCTGTCCCTGGGTGTAGTTCTTGTTTTTGTGCTTTGAGTTTGTTGGGCTTTTTGAATCTAGGTTTATAGTTTTAATCAAATTTAGAAAAATTTTCCACCATTATTTTTTCAAATAGTTTTTTTCTGTCCTCCCATTTTTCCTTCAAGGACTTCAATTAAATGTATATTAAATTAGGCTACTTGAAGTCATCGCTCATCTTACACTCTCTTTATTTTTATTTTTTAAATTATCTGTTCTCCCTGTGTTTCAATTTGCATTGTTACTATTGCTGTGTTTTTAAGTTTACTGATCTTTTTCCTTGACGACATCTAATCTGTTGTTAACCCATCCAGTATAACTTTCATCTCTAGAAGTTTTATTTGGATTTTGTTTTTGATATCTTCAAAGTTTTTACTTAACTTTTTGAACATAGGAATATGGTTATGATAACTTTTGATATCTTTTATGACATTTGTGTCAGTTCTGCATCAGTTTCAATTGATTGATTTTTGCATGCGTATTAATTTTTGATTGGATGGCAGACTTCGTGTATTTCACCTTGTTGAGTGTTGTATGCATACTTTTGTATTTCTATAAATATTTTTGAACTTTGTTCTGAGGTAGAGGTTACTTGGAAATAGCTTTATCACTTTGGGCCTTGCTTTTAAGTTTTCTTAGGCATCTAAGATTAGTCTGGGCTAATTATTTCCCAATACAGAGGCAAGACCTTTCTGTATACTCTACTGTGGAGATCAGCAAACCTGCTGGCAAATCTGGCCCTTAGCCTGTATTTGTGAATAAAGTTGTTTGGGAACACAGCCACACCCACTCATTTACATTTCTGTGGCTGCTTTTACACACCACAGCAGAGTTGAGTAGTTGCAAAAGAGATCATTCATGGTGCACTAAGAATCCCAAAATACTTACTTTCTGGACCTTTACAGAAAAATTGGCAGACCTCTGCTTTGTCCGGTGACACTCATGATTCATGAGATTTTCCAGCCTGCTGGCTCTGTGTGAGCACTAACTGTTCCTTTTCATACGTTCAGCCCTGGGTAGTCATTTTCTCACATGCGTGTGCTCATCAGACCTAAGCTGAACGTTTGAGCAAGACCCTTTGAAGATGTCTGGACTCCTCTCTCTGCATCTCTGTTCTCTTCAGAACTCAGTCCCTTGAACTCTGGTCGCCTTGGTCCCCCCAGCCTCGTGACCCGGTTTCCTCCAGAAGGTCGCCAGGCCTTGCCTGGAGCGCTGTCTTCGCGGTGCGGCCCGGAAGCTCTGGTGGTGGTGAGCCGAGGCGGTGCGTGCTCACCTGGCTTGTTTCTCTCCGTTCCGTAACGGCGGTCTTTTGTTTCCCGATGTTGATGGTCTTGAAAACTCTTCATATATTTTGTTTATGTTTTTGTTATTTTAAGATGGGAGAGTAAATCTGGTTCTTTTTATCCCATGTTGGCCAGAAGTAGAAGAATGACAAGTTGAATTTGGACATTTTGGATATACAAGTGGAATCCAGGAGAGAGGTATAGAAATTTGGGAACTTTCATTGTATAAATATTTATTTATTTATTTATTATCCTCACCTGAGGACATTTTTGCATTTATCTTCAGATAGAGTGGGAGGGAGAGAGGAAGGAAGAGAGACAGAGAAACATCAATGTGAGGGAGACACATCTACTGGTTGCCACCCGCACAGCCCCAACTGGGGCAGGAACAAACCGCAACCGAGATACGTGCCCTTAGCGGGAACTGAACCCGGACACTGGTCCGCGGGCCGACACTCTGACTGCTGAGCCTAACTGACCAGGGCAGTATAAATAATATTTAAAACCTTGAGACCAAATGTGATCACCAAGGAAGTGAGTACAAATTGATAAGAAGACTGAAAAATGTTACATTCCATCATTAAAAGGTAGGAGAGATGAGGAACTAATGTAAAAGACTAAGAAGGAACCACTAGTGAGCAGGGAGGAAACTCAGAGGATGGTACGGTTTCTGTGTTTAGAGGAAAATGATTTAAACATCACTTAAATACTTTAGTTCTCAAAACTCCCCCTTCCTCACCATGCTAGTCATATGAGTTTTTGTAAAATATTATTATATGTAATTACATACTATGTATTATAAAAATGGAGTTATCTTTTCCCAGAGTTGTTGACTCCTGCCATAGTGGCCCACAAAGTGATTGGTTATCATATTAGAAACAAGGTAAAATCATTGTCGTAGCTTAAGGCAGTGGTCTGGGGTAGTGATCATGACTTGTCAGCAGTCCAGATAATGGCTGCTAAATGACCGAGGAGACAAACATATTAGAAATGCGCTCTTCAGTCCGAGAAGTTAAGACTTTTCCTGACTAATGTGGTTGATACCCACATCAAAACAAGAACACACTTTTGAAATTTTAGAAATCAGGATATTTTCAAAGTTCGAAAGCACTAAATTAAGAACACGAGATGAGCTGCTTGATGAAAGAATGAAGCCACAGAAGAAAAATTAAAAGCAGTTGTTGAACCTCTGTTCCTATAAAACAGGGTCTTCTGCAGGTTGGGTGAGGTATTCATCAGCTAAAATAAAATTCATATTTTTTTGAAGATATAGACACAAACTAATAGATTAAAAAGTTCCCCTTTTCTGCCATAACTTTTTTTTAGCCCTTGGGGGCATCTCTTAGGATCTTAGTACAGTGTGGACTTAATGGAGCATCATTATCAGATATATAATATATATATATTATATATATATATAATAATCAGATATCTGATAATGTATCTTTCATTATCAGATATCATCAAATAAGGGAAATTTCTCATTTTCCTAATGAGAAGATTCTAACATTTTTGGCTAACTTTAAGGAGGATCTTTAAGAATAGCCTTGTTATGTATATATTTTTAAATCACATTAAAAATATATAAATTGCCCTGGCTATTTTGGCTCAGCGGTTAGAGCGTCGGCCTGCGGTCCTGAGAGACCCGGGTTCGGTTCCCGCTAAGGGCATGTACCTCGGTTGCAGTTTGTCCCCGGTCCTGGTCGGTTGTGCGGTTGGTGGCCACTCGATGTGTCCCTTTCACATCGATGTTTCTCTCTCTCTGTCTGTTCCTCTCTCTCCCCGCCACTCTACCTGAACAAAAAATGGAAAAATGTCCTCGGGTGAGGATAAATACATATATATATATATATATATATATAGAGAGAGAGAGAGAGAGAGAGAGAGAGAGAGAAAGTGTTGTCTTCCCATTCTTTCATTGTAGAAGATAATTGTATTCAAATATTCTCATTCACCAGCATCTTCAACACCATGAGAATCACATATTTTAGTAATATATCATGTTTTTTAAAGAGAATATTAATACCCATCTCAGATGTTTGAGAATATAGCACTTTCTGAAACACTGGAGGTCTTGTCCCAAGTAACAAAATCTCATCATGCAATATTTGGAAATTTTTAAAAAATTTCCCCATTTCTTCTGTGGTTGGTGGTATTTCCCCAGCAAAACAGCGACTTAATTTTTCAACTAATTATTGAAAAATGTACTCACAATGATCTCTGACACCTGGTGTTTTAAGGCCAGACCCCTAGGAGTAACTGAAACCACTGAAAATTTTGCTCTCTTTTTTAGTCTAATTGTCATTAAGATAAAGGATTGTGTCAGAGATCACATTACTAGTACGCAGATCAGTTTCCGCGATGCCACTTTTAGATAAACATTTCCTGAATAAGTTGAGTATAGGAATGACTTAGAGTAATAATCATAGTCTATGTAAAGAAATGGGGGAATAGCCTATAAATATTATGGTTTTTAATAAGCAAGAATTTAAACTTCTGTAAGTATTTTTGGATTTTTAAAAATTCAGATATGATTGACATATGACTAGTAAATAATACTATATAGTGTATTTTGTAACTTATGGACATCATGAGTAATTGTACCTTAGTTTGTCATTTCTCTTAATCAGCAAGTTAAAAACAGTCACTTAGGTCTGTACCACTAGAAAGATGGTAGCCTTGGAGATAAAATCTGGGTCAAGGGCAACCCCAGAATCTCATAGTCATGCCAGAGTTCTTAGGCAAATTCATGAAGTAAACAAGAGGATTCTTGAGTTCTTTGGTAGTGCCACACACAGGCACCTTTTTGGTGGGAAAGTGTGTGACCTGTCTGAGGTTTTCCCTGGTCTTAAGAAGTCTCTGTCTGAAGATGATACCCCAGATTAGCCTTGGGGAGTAGCCTTCAAGCACTCCCAGAAGTTCCCTGGAAGCACCAGAACCCTAACACCTGGCCAAAACCATTCGTGTTTCCCGCTGAAAAAATGGCTTTCAGTTTTTAAAAGATGCTGTTTTCCACTGCAAATATAGGAGTGCAGTGAATCTTCTCCAGCTGTTAATGGATGTTGTGAGGGTGAAGTGAAGTTACTAGACTTTTATTTCTCATTAACTATACTTAGTTATCAAATACACACTTGCATATATACCAGCACATATGTACTAGCATATGTTCATAACAAGAAGGGAAATTTTTAATATTTTACAGGTACAGGAAGCAATATAAAGTGATCAGGGAGTAAATTACTGTCTTTGGGTTCTGCCCTTCCAATACTCAGGTTCCTTAACTATGGAATAGGAAGCCATGTTAGTGGAATTGAAGAGTATATTCCCCAAAGCTATTTAAAGTGCTAAAAAAATCTGAGTTTTTGTTATTTTAATAAGTAGAAATATAGGCTAAATACTCTTTTCAAGTGTGCTGCTCCTTATGCATGGGAAGTCCCCCCCCCCCATCCCACCCAAGTAGTCATGGTAATTATAGCTTTCCACTCTTGAAGTCCTGGGTGCTGTGCATTGGTAAAGACTTGAATTTGGTACATGGTTATAAAAGTCCTTTCATTATAGGGTTGGTTAAGTAATGGTGGGAAATATGACCCCTACTGTTTAGTGAAAGATCTTTTTAATATACAGAGGCATTGTTCTTTTGGGCTTAATGATGAAAGCGTTCATTATATGCAGCACTTGGTTCTAATCTGTATGGAATCAGTTGTTTGATAATGTAATCTGACCCTGATTGCGTTCATGGGGTAAGGAGGTGGCTGTGGTTGCTCTCAGGGCCCTAATTATAGCATTTCTTTTGAATTTTCAAAATGAACTTCATTTTTATTGGTGCTAGTGGAGTCTGAGTCATGGAATTCCTTCAAGAGTTGCTGTTGGGTAATCACTGATGAGATATTTCCTTTTACACTTTTGTGATTAGCTATCAATATAATTTGATCCAGGTGCTCTTTCTTCTTTGTAGTCATATTGTTAGAACCGAAAATGTTTTTTGTGCTCTGATTAATTACCCAATTATTTATTTGCTTGAAAGCCATTATTACCTAAGTTTAGAATTACTTGCTAGATACCGAGATCTTCCTTGATATTTAAAAATGAATATCTTTATATTTTAGGGGAATATAATACTAATATAATAATCCTGCTATACTTACCTGTTTCAAATAGGACACTTTTGAAATTATGTTCTTCCTTAGCCCCGTTTACATACAAATCTTTTCACTGTAGTACGAGGAGAAATGAGGGTCCCTGAAGAAGCTCTAAAGGTAAAAGGTTTTACTTCTTTCTTTGGTAACCTACCTTTTACTAGGGTTGGTTTCACTCATGGATGTTCCCCTGAAATGTTTTATAGCATGAGAAGTTTACCATTCAGCTTCAGTTGTCCCAAAAATCCTCAGAACCAGAATTACCAAAATCTGCATGCGCCAAAAGCACAGACTCAAAGGCGGCAGATAGCACACCAGAACCGCAGCACAAAGCCACGGAAGCACTGAAGTCGGAGGAAAAGGCCCTGGGTACGTTGCCCTTGTCCCAAATACCGTGTTTGTACTCGGGGGAAGAAATGGCAGGCTTCGTTCTCAAAAACGTGGCCATGTCCATATAAAATAGTAAATCCCCATAATCACAGGTTCACAGTGGGTTTCAATGCTGCCAATGCTTTCTCTGCAAAGCATGGCACACAGTCTGTGGCATTGGAGTGCAGGTGTGTTTCGTATGTTTAGACATGTAAGGGAAGTAAATGTAATTTGCCTTACAGTATTTTTTATTAATTCATGTTTGTTTGCTTTTTCTTCTGAATTATAATAACTGAAATGAATTTAATAGGACATTTCCACTGATGCTACATCATCAGAATTATCATGTTCCAAAAACTATTAAAAATGCTTTATATGAATAATCCCATTCACACTGAAATGATTTTTTAAATTGGGAGACATTACCAAATTTGTTCAAATGTAAATCTATTAGTCCTATTAACAGCTAGTTTAAATTTAGTAACTGTGCAATGCCCTACGGCTTTAAAAATTTTTTATACGGTCACTCATACCAAAATGTACTTTACTCTTTTATATTTAGACTTAATGAGTCATTTCTGTATGCCAAAGAATGGATTTTAGTGTAGTAAACAGTTACTGGGCTATAGCAGTTTTGCATTACTTAGATACTAGCTAGCGCAAAATATAATGTATTTAGTCATGTCCAACGTTGAATAAGATCTTACAAAATTACCAAGTTATTTAACTTAAGTACTTTTCAGCTATCTAGACTATACTTTGTTTTTCATTTAATAAATCAACCAGGCATGTCTAGCATTCTGCAAAAGCATCTTTTTGTTTTCTGTTTCATATGCTTTAGACAGATTTTTCCACCTCTTTCCAGATACTTCTGCTATGCCCCGGGGTACTCCACTATATGGGCAGCCTTCATGGTGGGGCGATGATGAGGTGGACGAAAAAAGAGCTTTCAAGTCCAATGGCAAACCAGAAGAAAAAAACCACGAAAGTGGAACATCAGGTAAAAAAAATCTCAGATTATGAGATTTGGAGATATTGCCAAGCAAAAAAATCAGTCTACCCTAAAATGAGATATCTACTGCTCTTTTATTTGATAAAAAATAGTGGATGAATGTTTTCATGATATTGACATTTTAATTTAAATTCATTTATTCAGAATGATTCTCACATAAAGTATTAATTTCAGTATCTTTGTAAATCATTTAAAATATTCATTTAGCGTATTTATGAGATTGTTAAAACTTGAGGAAGGATTAATAATGTAATTGGGCATCTTAAGTATTTTAAAATAATTATTAAAATATTCAGTACCAAAACAGTAGATACAGACTGATTTGGTGTGTTTTCATTAGGTCCACAAACATATAGTCATATTTTTAAATGAATGATTTCTATTATGTTTAGACATGTGATATGAAATTAAAACTTCAGTGTGTGCAATTTGTTGTGATATGGTAGCAACAAGATTAGCTTAGTTCAGCAGCCAGAGTGAAGAAATAGTTCTGGGTCACATTCTTAGATTAGTAGTCAGGGAACAGATTCTTCCTGTTGCTGGAGGGGCGTAGTAGTGATCTAAGTGTCCATAAGCCAGAAAATCAAGATTTTCAGGAAATAAATGGCAGCATAAGGTGTCTATCACATAAAGAGTTAGCAAAGACACCAACGGAAGGCTGGAGCAGGCGGAGTCTGTGATAAAGCAGATAAGGGTCCAGGCCTGGAGGAATTAAACCAGCACCGTCTCTGAGTCAAAGGTAGATTCCATCAGAACTCTTCTGTTTTCTACCTTTGGCCTTAGTCTATAGGAGAAATATGACATTTTTGTTTAGCTGGAGAGTAAGAACACTGGTTCTTTAAATATGCTCTAATTTTTCCAGGACACGTGTCTCAGAAAGCTGACTTTATCAACTTAGTTTTATTGTGCCCCAAACTGAAGTTACCAACTTTGCAAATAAATTCCCATCACAGCTTCCTTGTCTCTAAGATCTACACAGGTTTCTTCATACCCCAGCTCAGAAACTCAGTATTATTGAGCATACCCTCAGATGCAGATAACAGAATTGCTTCCTGAGACTAAACAGGAAAGGCATTGAGTGGCTTAAATAACTGCGTCCTCTTCAGGATTGGTTAGGGCAGCATCTCAACAGTGTCATCAGCTAGGTGGTTTCTCTCCCTCTCTCAGCCCTTCTGTGCACCGTGGCTGCATACTGGGCAGTTTCCCTCGTACACGCCCGCTGCCTGCCAGCAGCAGTCCAGGGTCTATGCTCCTTGGACCACAGCCAGCACAGAGTAGCAGAGATTGCTTCCCGAAGACCCCCAGCAGTTGGAGGAGGAACTTTCCCAAAAGTTTGCAACACAAATCTCATCTCAGTGGCTTCTCACGGGTTCAGGAGTAGGTCACCTGCTTATTTCGGAACCAAACCTTGGCAAGGGCTAGGAGACTATCCTTAGCCAGTCTTGCCCTCCCCGAAGCTGAATGCAGGGTTAGTTTTCCCCTGAGGCACCTGAGCTGTGTCAGGGAAGAGTAGATACCTGGGAATGGTGGAGTTTTTTGAACGGGGAGGTCCCGGAAATGGATTTGGAAGACAGTCAAGAATGTCTACTTCATTTGAAATCTTTGTATCTTCTCCTGCCTTCAGTTGTCCCAATACAATACATCACCTACTTCTGTTGCCTTTTTCCCCCACTAAGTCATGACTGGACTTCTTACTTCCAGTTTCAACCCTCCTGCAGTTAATTTTCCATAATAAATCTAAGCTCTTCTTTATTTTCATTTTTTAGAAAACCTACAGTGGCTGTCTTTTGCCTGCCAAATAGATTTTATGTCCAAGTTCTCTTTAATTTTGTCCCACTTTCCTTACAGAGTCTCATGTCCCACTGCCAGTTGTTTTCAGTGCTGTCTACCGAAGCCTTCCCACGCGAATTACCCATAATCCCCACCTGCTTCTCCCCCTCAGATACTCACACACACATCACATGAGAAAATATCCTCAACCTGTACAGATGTGCTGTTAATACATAGCTGTTTCATCAGTATTTTGTGTGCATGCCTTCTCATTTAAACTTCAGTTCCTTCTTCCAAGGATCACAGATTATCACTGTGCACTGAGCCACCTAGCAGAGAGAAGAGAGAGAAAAAATGTACTGATTATTAGGTGGCTAATTTAAAAGAAAACACAGCAGAATGTAACTATTGCCAGATTCTGAAAATAACTGACAGTGATTTTACCACGCCATTAAAACTATTCCTCCCCCCATACATAAAATAACTTTTGAAATCTGCAATATATAACTTCTAGAATACGATGAAGTGTATGTGTAATTTTTGTCCTGGAGACAGAACCATGATTTATAAATAATAGCTTATACCACAGTGGTGCTTATTTATCTAGACACTCTTCTAAGTACCCTTCATGTGTTTATTAATTCTCAGCAATACCTAAAAGTAGTTACTATAATTTTCCCCATTTGATAGATAAGGAAGCCGAGGTGCAGTGATATGAATTTCCTTACCGAGGTCACCCAGCTAGCAATAGTGTAGCTGGGATTTGAACCCAAGCAGCTGGACTCCAGAGTCCAGCGTCCAGCTCTTAACCACAAGCAGTTAACATCTCAGCACCTATTGTGTGCGTGCTCGCGCGCGCGCACACACACAGCAAAAAGATATACTTCATAGAGTACAAAGATTTAAACAGACACTCCAAAAATAAATTGGCATGAAAAATTGACCCCTCCTACCTCAGCATAATAAAATAAATTTCAAACCGTGAGGCATCCCACAGGAATTTTATCTGGGTGAGTGAAACTAAATTTTTAAGCGCTTATCAGCTTGCGTGGCCTCCAGTGTCATTTCTTCCAGATGACAAAGCTGTCTCATAATCTTGAGATTATTTTTTGATTAGGAAGGAGTTAAGTGATTTACATCTTGTGTTAAATAGCTTAAAGCAGGCAGTCAGATTCAGCTGATTAAGAGACTTACAGAGTCTCATTTGCTTTCTTCTATTAGTATCAGGATGTTGTTTCAGATTTATCATTTGTAGTTTTTTTTAAATACAGGATGAGGGAAACAGTTTACTGACCTGAAATAATGTACGATGCCAGCAGAGATTGTAGAATCAATTTCAAAATATATACTAAATGTTATTTCATTTCATCATTTTGAAATTAAGGTATTGTAAAAAAAATATTTCAAATTGTGAAATAGACATGATTATTACTTCTCGAAGCATACTCTTTGGTAAAAAAAAAAAAAAAAAAAAAAAGGCATTTCTTCTTGATTACCAGTTTTTAGAATGTAAAACCTTAGTACTTAATCATGATTGGAACATTCCAGAAAGGATAATAGAGTATCTGCTACCTGGTTATTTTTGATATTCCTCTCTGAGGGTCCCACGTATCCAGATTCTCTACAGACTTACCAAATAGCCTAAACACTCTAGAAGCAAATAGGTACATCAGAGCATTCAAGGTCTCCTGAAATTGTGTGACTAGTTTGAGTCCTGCTGAGAAAAGCCAGTCCTCATTTTAGCTCCAGGTGTGCTCATCGACCTGCTCACTTGGTTTACACATGCATTTAGGTCACAGCAAAAGGCCTTTAAGCGTTGCATACATTTCAAAAAGGTGTGCACAACTGTGAGGAGTTTTTTTTTCTCTTTTATATTGATTTTTAACCTCATCCAACTAAATTTGAAAATGTACAGGTTGTAACTCCTTTTAAACAAAAGTGGTTTACCAGTCTTTGTTATAGTAAGTACTTGAATATACTAGGTTGGATGGATGACAGGCAGAAGGAGCCTTCATAATTTCAGCCTGTGTCATCTTGAATTAGTGTAATAATATTCAGTTTAATACAGAAGAATGAAGGGAATATATTTTTTTCTGGATTATGTATATTACAGGTTTCCCTGAAAGGTCAAGCAATTATAAAATATTTTAAGGAAGTTAAGGATATTGTCACCAATTGCTCTGATTTAGGTAAACATAATTCTAACATAATCAGTTATTAAAAAGTTTTAAATATCTAAAACTAAAAATATTGATATAAAGTATTAGTGTATTTAGTATATTATTTAGTCTAATTTAGTATAAACAAAATAGATTTTGAAGAGAAATGAATGGCAAATTCATAAATTCCATAGTGTGTTCTGTCTGTCCTGAGAGAGGAAAGCTATTCTGTTTCTCTGTATGAATTTAGAAGACCCCTAATATTTTTCTAGTATGCCTACACTTCCCAAGTATAGTAGGCCCACACTTGATCTGTTTTTCTTCTCTTCAGAAAAATGAATTTTCCAGGTGACTGAACTGAACTTTTACGACTGACAAATTTTTTACCAAGTTGAATGATTTCCTGTATTTCTATCAAATGAATTACCCATATCACTGCCTTTTCAAGCAGAGAAGGCTGAATATTATTAAAATTTTTGCTTTATGACATTATGTATATTGAATGATGAGTATTGAATAAAGAATACTTAGCTGTGATAAATTACAGTGATATCCTTGGGAGACGTGGAGGGGCTGTATGTAAGCCTTGTACACTGAATGACTGTGGGCTGATGTGTCCTTCAGCTCTGTCTCTGCTCTGCTCTTGATCTAAGTTTTTAGTCTCTTTTCTGTACAACTTGACTCTTCTCAGTAATACGTCTGACTTGAAACCTCACCTCTACACCCCTCCACATTGGCCACATGTAATCTGAGTACAAAGTGAAAAGGCTCTCAAGAGAGACTTCCTGATAGTCAAGTTCACAAATATGAGAGAGTAGGTGTTATGATATCTCTCTTGGGCTTTTTAGAATTAGATTTTTGGTTTTAGTTTTTTGTTTTCTCTAATTCTTAGTCATGTTGGAGATTCGGGGGACAAGAGAGAAATGTCTACTTGTGCCAAGCTTTGTTCTGGGTAACTTACATAATCTCACTTAATATTTATCTCACTAAATGTTCATAACAGTCTTATGGATAGATATTACTATTTCCTCATTTTATGGTGAGGAAAATGAGAATTAAGGCTGATAAAGATAAGATTTATCTGATTTAAAGTCTTAGCCCTGCTTTTTACTGAACCAGGCTGCCTGGTTAAGACCATCAGATCCTGACATGCTGCCTTCCCACTCTTGTGCTACTTGACGTTAGATAACTGATCTCTGGACAAAGTAGGAGTTAACTTGTGCAAGTCTCAGGTGCCTAGTCCTTGGAGTAAAGGTAATTTTGAAGTAGGACTGAGGGAATGATAACCTTAAAAACAGTGGTGTGCACTGGTTGATCACTGCTGTTATAATGTGAAAACATGTTATTAACTGGGAACTTCTCATTCGCAAGGGAGGAAAATATTTCTTTGAATGCTGAGTGTCAAGTTGGATGATAAATCATATAACCCTGGACCAGACTTTTGTCATCTTTACTTCGTAGTTTAGCCACATCATTTGATATGCATATCCAGGTGGTGCTAGTAGAAAGCGACCACCCTTGTCCCTGGTGTTAGTTATCTGCAGGCTGAGCAAAGCAGGATGGATGGATGGATGGATGGATGGATGGATGGATGCATGGATGGATGCATGGATGGATGGATGGATGGATGGATGCATGGATGGATGCATGGATGGATGGATGAACGAACGAACGAACGAACGAACGAACGAACAGGGATATGTCTTGGTAGCATGGTTTATAAACCAGTTGTACTATATGGAATTGATCAAGTACAATATATCATAAGTAGTAAATCAATACATCATGAAAAAATAACATTTATAAATGAGTTTATTAATATGTGGGAAGTGGTTAATGCATTTTACTCTTAAAGAAATTTTAAGTGACAGGCCTTCAGAGTAAATATTCAAATCCAAGTGGGCATTTTATTATTAAGAAAAAGATAAATTAACTTTAATAAAGAAAAATTTTAAATGTGACTTTAAATTATTCGGTCTTCTGTAACTTCTTTCAAATAGCATGTAAAATAATTTGCTTTGGTAATGTAGTTTTTCTTGATATATTTTTTTTCATTTTCAGTGGTGAAAAAACTAAGTAAATTTTTAAAAGGATCATTTTTACATTGGAATTGTTTTTGTTAGATATTGTTTATCTTCTGTGAAGATTTTTTTGCTGTTTTTTTCTTTAATGGAGCTTGATGTCTTCTATATCCTACCCTACTCCACACGTTTGATTACAGAGATACTGCTGCCCAATCTTCCATACCCTAAAAGCAAGCAGGGCTCTGAGTGTTTCGTATGCAGAATACTGCCCAGAGGCCAATCACAGCACCTGCAGGGGCCCATCAGGTTGAATATTCAGAAAGATGTTTCAAAAGACCAAATACCTTCACTTAATTAGAAAATGATTGGAAACAACTTGGTATTCCTGTATTGCCCTTTCTTCCTGATAAATTATCTGCAAATGGTTCTTCTATCAATGTATTTGTTAAAGGAATGCTTTTTGAGCTTTAGGGAAATATTTTTTTTATTTGAACTTACTCTTTACCACCTTGATAATAGACATGATCATTTGCTTCCTTAAAAACAGAGAAGTTTAATCATAGATATAGATATATATATACACACACACACACACACACACATTTATACGTGTATATATATATTGCATTTTCACTTCTAGTGACACATACTTAAAACATTTCAGTTATTTTCATTTTTATATGTTTACATCTTTTATGTATAAATATGTTTACCTTTATACCTTTATATTCGTTTCTGGGGCAACAGAAGAATAATGATAGCTTTCCAGATTTGTTTCTGCCAAATCTTGTTGTTGAGCTGAGGTTTATAATTCAGCTTTTCTCCAAGGACTTTTGACACTTGTGCATATTCTGCTGTATAGAAATGTACATGAATTTTCTTCTGCAATTAATGGCTGGCAACTGAATTTCTATTTTTATCTTATCTTTTTTTTTCACACTGCTGCTTGGATTGCAATGCTGCAGGCAAACCACATGTTTTGTCTTTAACATTCTTTTATTCTTTATCAAATGTATTTTCTTGCCAAGATCACACATCCGTATATCATTTTGGTCCTTCTAAAAGTAATGGTTCTGAATGTGGTGGTGAAAAATGGTAAGTGGAGCCATTACTTCCAGAACATCGCTTACATGTTGGCTTCATATTTGTTTCCTCACTTGAGCACCTGTTCTCCTTTGGAGCTCTACTGGTGTGCATAGATATTTCAGATACTTCATTCTCCTTCCTTGATAAGGAAATTCATATTTTTTCTGTCACTCGAGATATATACGTTGAACGTGTTATCTCCATCTACATTTGATTTCAGTTCTTTTACACCTCGATGACTTCTAGATCCAAGTTGGAAAAAATATGGCCTTAGCCATTCAAGGTCCATCTCTGAACTGCTTTGCTAACCGTTGCCATTGCTGCTGCTTATCTTGCACCTCCTGCTGGTAACTGAACGCCATGTTTACAATCCAAATGATTTCTTCTCCTTGACATTTGCCATTGTTTTTCATCCAGACTGTGATCTGACTTCTGATTCTCTTGAAGTAAAACAAATGATCGTTACTGTGCTCCCTGCAATGCTAGAAGCTCCCAAATATTTTGAATTTTCTCTTATTTTTCTCATTAGGGTGCAGTTTAGATGCCAAGCAAGTTGAGGAACAATCTGCAGCTGCAAATGAAGAAGTACTTTTTCCTTTCTGTAGGGAACCAAGTTATTTTGAAATCCCTACAAAAGAATTTCAGCAACCATCACAAATAACAGAAAGCACTATTCATGAAATCCCAACAAAAGACACACCAAGTTCCCATACAGCAGGTGCAGGGCATGCTTCATTTACCATTGAATTTGATGACAGTGCCCCAGGGAAGGTAACTATTAGAGACCATGTGACAAAATTTACTTCTGAGCAGCGCCACAAGTCCAAGAAGTCTTCCCCTGGAACTCAAGACCTGCCCGGGATTCAAACTGGGATGATGGCACCAGAAAACAAAGTCGCCGACTGGCTGGCACAGAACAACCCTCCCCAGATGGTCTGGGAGAGAACAGAAGAGGATTCCAAAAGTATTAAAAGTGATGTTCCAGTTTACTTGAAAAGGTTGAAAGGTAAAGTGAATTGATCCTTTCAGAACTTCCTATATTAATATAAAGAACATTCAGTCTTCACTGTTACCAAACTACTATTAAATAATTATGTGGTAGAAAACTGCTTTTTCAAAGGTTTATATTTGATTTTAAAGCTGAAAAGCAAGCCATACTGCTCATGTCCAACTCATTGAAGAGTCTGCCTTTATTTTCTTGCCAAAGCCAGATCGGCTTTGTAAATTTAGATTTATGCTATTAAATATGTCTCTTTTTTCCCCATTGAAATAAAAGATTTGTTCAGTTCATCAATGGAATTCCCTAGAAAACCATTCTCATCATTTTCTTAAAGAAAAGATATATTCAATAACATTCTTGTCTATTTTGATGCTTCCAGTAAGAAGTCAGTCTCTAGATTTTGAAAGAAATTTTAAGACATTTGACAATGGAACAAAAGTGGTTACTCATGCCTTGGCCAGTTTGGCTTAGTGGTTAGTGTTGGCCCTCGGACAGAGGGGTCTCAGGTTCATTTCCCGGTCAAGCGTACGTCCCTGGGTAGCAGATTCAATCCCAGCCTCGGTTGGGGCGCGTGCAGGAGGCAACCAATTGATGTGTCTCTCTCACATCGATGTCTCTCTCTCTCCCCCTTCCTCCTTCCCTCCCTTTCACTTTATCTAAATATCAATAAAAAAACATCCTTGGGTGAGGATTAACAAAAAAATATTTTTAAAAAAAATGGTTACTCATGAAAAAAAAATTTTGGTTTAGAGATAACTTGAATTACATTTTTTTTCAATAGTCAGACTTTATGAAAACCACAACTGATTTATTTGTGAAATCGTTTTTATAAATGCTTTACTAGTATAATACTTGGCTAAAAATTGTACCGCGGTATTAGCTAATCAATTCTTTCCATTGGTTTTGCTAATTAAATTTACTTTAGAATTACTGAATACAGTTTTGTGTTACTCTGTATTTTATTTAACAAGCTATCTATAAGAGAAATGATTGCCTGTTAATCTGACCATTATATAACTGTACAAGGAGTTGATGGGTTTTTCCAACACTGCTCATTGAGGTCAGAGACTGTTACTTACCTCGTATTCCTAACATGTCACCTGAGACTTAAGTATGTGATAGGTACTCAGTAATTAGAATAAACAGTGAATGACCTGACAGTCAATGACAGTACTAACCCTGGCTTAACTTGTACTTTATGCCCTGGGATTCTGATCAAGTAATGAAAGAATACCTATTTCTGATTTGCTTCCAAGGTATTTCAGGACAGAGAGATGGTGAGATTACCTAAATCTTTGTTGGGCCTATTGCTATATTTAATTATAATCATAAGCAGTTACCTGGCATATGTATTTTGACATGGGCTAGAGAATATTAAATACAAGGTTGAGACCTATATATGTATGTGTAGGTTAAAGCTTACAAATAAAAACCAACCATTTTTATGAATTACATAAATAATACTGATATCTTATTATAATGTAAAAGGTAGTGTAAACCTTGAAAATTTAGAAGTAAGATTATCTTTTTAAAACTGCTCTTAATGTATGAAAAGTGAACTGAAAGATACTTTTAAAAGCTACTATTTTTTTAAAATACCCTTTTATTGAAACTGTTTTTTAGTCATTATCACTATTTTCTGTATTTGCTGTTATTTTTAATCCATCATTGAAGACATTCTCTGTTCTTAAACAAGCCTAATTCCAAATAGAGACATTAGTACCCATGTTCACACTATATCTATACATGAATATCTATTTGAAAACCTTATCAGAAATTATACAATCAAATCACTACCCTCCCTCGAAGGAGATTTTAGGTGGACACACCGTGTCCGTGTGCTGCCATTGCTTAGAACCCGTCTCTGGGATACGCCTTTATGCCATTTTACAAGCCATCTAAACAAATGTCTTTGTGACTATAGCTCAGTGTGGTCCAAGGTAGATCCATTTTATTACTCCAGATATATTTACAAATGACATTTGATTTTCTCCAAACTCAGAGCCGCCATTGTTAGATAAAGATTTCCCACATTTTAGGATATTAAAAGTATATACCTAGACTCTAAATAAATGTAATTATAGCAAAAAGTAACAGTTACAATAACTAACTTTCAATAACTGTTTAGATCAGTCAGAAACTTGAAAGTAGGCAAAACAAAACAAAAACAAAAAAACTTTGCTCCTACAAGAGTAAAGTGCACGCGCTTTGGGACAGTGAAGAAAATAATGTTCACAAAGCCCATACACTTTTACTCTTTAGGAGAGTTGCAGCTTGTTTGGCCACAGCTACTGACTTGGTACAGCTCACCTACCCTAAAAAATACTTAAAGTACTTCAGCTTATTTCGGCATGGTTAATGACAGGAAAGAAAGAAACTTGTTGGGGAGGAGAGCTTCTTAGTGATTTTTGTTGTTGTTGTTGAGTAAAGACAAAAATTGTAGTTCAGATCAGATGTCTCACGTTATGACACTGACAAATACAAGAAGAAATAATAAATTGTCCCACAAAGAAAATGGCTAACCTATAAATTAAAATTGAATTTTTAAGCTATAACTTAAAGATACTGAAAGGGTCTGACACCATTTCAGTGCCAAATTTTATATGTTGGTATAAGAACTAAATTCTGTAGAAATGGTGTTTTTATGTCATGTGTGTGATATGGGTTATTTACGCTCATTAGGCAGGAAATATTGGAGTTGAGTTATATCCAGCTCTTACAAACTAGATTTCTTTTCAGTATATCTACTGCAACAATAAAATAGGTTGTAATGGTTATGTTTTTAATTATTTTGTATTTGAACTAGAGGGTAGTGGGTAGTGGGTTGTGTGTGTGTGTGTTTTTTTTTTTTGTTTTTTTTTTTGGGTTTTGCACTCCATCTGCTATCCCTAATTCCCAGCCTAATTACCTGAGGTAGGGAGTCTATTAATTAAACAAATGTGTTGTTTTTTTTTCTTCTTTTCAGATTGCATTTTGAATAGTTACTAATTTGAAGACAGTTTCAGATTTATTGTCATATCTGAGGTTTATATTACTCACCATCCCTGTGCCGGGAGTGCTCCCCCAAACCCCTCCTTTTGGTCTCGTTAACTCCTTTGGCTTGCCTTGCCCATTTTCCAAAACGTTGCCCTTTTGTGTGTGCCCCGCTTTGTCCCTCCTGAGTCTTCTCACTCTTTTTATGTGCCACATTTTTACAGCTTGTCCTCTTGTGGTAACTCATCAACACCAGTTGGTATCCTCTACATTTTGTAGAACAAGGTCATGAATATTAAAACTCAGCTCTTTCCTGGGTCCTGTGTTTTTGGTCCCTCCCAACCTCCAAGTCTTTCAGTTCCAATCAGCATCTTCTTTGATACCAAATTTTTCAGCAAGTATTCAGACTAAAACTTGTAGCCTAGGAAAAAATACAGATCAGAGTTAGTCCTGTGAGCGTTGGGATGGCCCTGGTTGACTAGATTCATTTATAGCTTTCTTCTAAAGAAGCCAGCATGTAAGCCTTTATTTATGATTCGATCTTGAACAGGCCTAGAATAACTCTTGACTCTCTAATAATCTTATTCTATTATAATAATACAATTATTATTTGATTATCATAATGTTCTTACTTAGATAATGAGAATTCTGAATCAGTGAAAAATCAAGTAATTATCATAGTTTTATATTTAATCCCTAATACTGCTCTGAAGGGAAGGGTAGCAAAAACCTGTAAGAAAGCTGATGTTTCAAGATTCAAATATATTCTAACTTGAATCTATATGCTTTGTGGTACAACAAGATTTTTTATATGGTTATTTTTTGCACATTGCCATTTGCCCGGTAGATACTTAGATTTATATAGGATTTTATAGATGGCCCTTTTAGTATGCTTTATTTAACTTTTTGAAGACACCAGAGTTTAGAGCTCAAATACAGATTTTCAAAAATTCTCATAGCTAGAAAAATGTTTATAAACAATTGTACCGTAACTGGTGGAAATTATAAAGATGCTATACTTAGGGATGTAGTAGTGTATATCATCAAAAGTTAAGATTCATCCCGTTCTTAGGGCATTTGTATTTCCTTTTCCTGTGTAATGATCAGCATTTCAATGGAGTCACCCTTTTCCTGTCTCCTTCTCTTTAATGCCAGAAACAAAATTTTGATTGCTTAAATAAGGTATAAGTTTTGAAGATAGGGTTAATGTTTATTACTGTTATGAATACAGACTATTATGGATGGTAGAGCATTGTTGAATCTCTTAAGGCGTTGATACATCATCATAAAGTGAAAATTTGGAGAAAGAAAGACAGCCCTATGCAGTTGCTCATGAAGGACCGCATTGTTGGCTGATGCGACTTGAATGTAAGCGCCGCCGAGGAGGGAAGTTTGCAGAGCCTGTTACCGGAAAGAACATATGACTCTGGATTGAAAAGGGGAAGGGGGCAAAACAAACGGCACTTTTGTGTATGCTTCTTATTTTCCACATGGGATTTTGTCCTTCTCTACTATGCGGTTTCTCTTTTGTGTCCAGGAAACAAACACGATGATGGTACACAGAGCGATTCGGAAAACGCCGGGGCCCACCGGCGCCGCAGCAGGCGCGCAGCTCTCGAGGAGCACTTACGGCGCCACCAGGCGGAGCAGAAACCGCTGCAGAAGGCGCAGGCCGCCGACAGGCACCAAGACCCCGCTGCTGTAAGTCAGACCACTTTTCTGGTTGCGTTCGATGAAGAAAATCCCAGGAAAAGAAGGTCATTCTCTTTTACTCAGAGTGCGGGAGTCTTATGTGAGGAACCGACTTACTCAGCACCACATACAAAACTTGAAAAACCAAAATCTCCAACAGCAGATGCCAAAGTGGTTTCTTTGTCTTTACAGACTAGCTCTGCGCATCACAGAGGGGGGCATGGTGTTCCACATGGGAAGTTGTTAAAACAGAAATCAGAGGAGCCATCCGTGTCAATCCCCTTCCTACAAACTGCATTGTTAAGAAGTTCAGGGAGTCTTGGGCACAGACCGAGCCAGGAGATGGATAAAAGGTTAAAAAATCAAGCTCCTTCTGCTACTTCTGAAAAGGATAATGATGATGACCAAAGTGACAAGGGTACCTATACCATTGAGTTAGAGAATCCCAACAGTGAGGAAGTGGAAGCAAGAAAAATGATTGACAAGGTAAATGTCTGAAACGTGGGGATGATGTTAGTTTTCGTGGGGTGATTTGACTGTTGGAAATTATTGGAGAGTCAGCAGGAGATGTTCTCTTGTAGTCGGTGGTATTGGAACTTGAGGATTTGTGAGGGAACTGCAAGACTAGCCGTGAACCAGATGCTTTCTGGTTTTATTCTGTTTATGTTCTGAATTGGCCTGAGTTTCACAGGTAAAGTCCTGTACATTTAAACTGTCTGGACCTAAAAGTTGTGTAAATTTAAGATAGGATTTTAAAATAGTACACTTTGGCCAGTCTCACTTTGCATATATTTATAAACTAAAAAACAACAAAAAAACAGATTGCAGGAGTCTTTTAATATAAACATAAATGTTAGCTGATAGTAATCACAGGTTTCCTGCCTACTACTACATGTTGAAAGCAGATGAAAATACATGTTTTAATCAATTTTGTTCTTTGTTCTTGTTTTCTTAATTTCTGTTTACTTCTGTCTTTGGTGATAGAAAAGAAGTATATGAAAACAAAATCAGTTTATGATACTTTGAGTTTAGTGAGTATATGCCCAGCCATGATTATTTACATTTCAGATTTGTTCTGATGTCATTGGTTAATGTGTACGGTGATTGTTGTATGGTTTAAAAAGTAGTTTTTCTCAATTTTGCTCATGATAATGGAAAGTTGACTTTACAATCAGCTGTTTATTTTACTCCCTGGAAAATAACTACCTAAGTTTGCTGAAGCTTGATCTCTGGTTTAAGTTCTTGTTACTCGGCATGTGAACAGCATCAGCACCACTTGAGAGCTTGTTAGAAATGCAGACTTTCAGGCCCATCACACACACTGCATCATCCTCTTGGAGAGCGAGATCTCCAGGGGTCGCATACACATTAACATGAGACATGCTAGTTGAAGTGGTGAGTGTACAGACTGCTCCTTCAGGGAGTAGACAGGATCACCTTTTGGGATACAGGAAGATTATTAATATTTAAGACTACTTTTAATTTCATAGTTTTTATTTCCATTTTGGAGTGGGTTCTATAGTTACATTGGAACAGGTATGTAATTTCTAAACATGCATTTATTAAGGAGGGCATGTTCCATGTCTTTTTTTGTTGAGATGGAGACCCATTAGTCTAAGAAATAGATATTATATGAGCAGTGTTAGGATAGTTGTTAATAAGAGATACGCAAGTAAGAAACAGATGAGCCAAGTGAGTTTTATGATTAGATTAAAGGAAGTCTAAGGATACAGTTTTAGCATAGAAAATGACTCTTGGGGATTTTGAGTTTTTTTATCATTGGGAATTGATAATGACATTTCTTTCTTATTATTTTAAAGTTCATAATTTTCCCTCTATTAAGAACAAGTATATTGGTATTTAACATACTGCCAAATAGAAAATAAAATAAGGGTTTTGAAAAAATGAGAATGTTAAGTTTTTAAATTCAGATTAATATTAATTTTATGCCTTTGGTTTATACATATTTTAATTATAGTGATCAGTGTTTTCTCTATTAAAAGATGTGTCAGTAAGGGACTATATTACAGTATTTAAGAACATGAACACTTGCAGGCAGACAGGTCTGGGGTTAAATATAAACTCTGCATGTACTAGATATATGCCTTTGGGTAAACTAACCTCTTTAAGCCTCTATTTCTTTTTGCTCTAAAATGGAAGAACTTTCACTAGGTTATAAAAAGAATTCCATAAGTATATAAAATGCTCATCACAATGCCTGTCTTATAATACGAGGTGTGTAAATGTTACTATGTGATTACCCTTACTAGGACTTCCCACACACAAATCTTTACACTGGGCACTGATACATCCTGGAGGGCTCTTTCAGCACTAAGAGTGTCAAGCCTGAAGCCCGAGTGGACGTTCCAGGGCAAGGGAGCAGCCTGGCCAGAGTAGCAGAGAGCCCAGAAGGAAGCCACTGTCGCAGCTGAGACCCTTTAGGAAACTGCTGGACGGAGGGTGACCTTCCAACCTGGTGTGCACCTGCTGTCTGTGATTTCAAAAGCACCTCTTTTTTGCTTCTCAAAAAGAGGCTCTGTCTCAGCAACCAATTGCATGGTCACACTATGGACAGAGAAAACCAAGATTTTAAAGCAGGAATCATTTAAGGGAGTCATGGCACTAGGTAATTCACAGTCATGACCGAGTAGGTAATTCACAGTCATTCCTGGTTTGTATGAACCAGGAAACGAAGCCGAGACCATAACGACAGGGAGAAAGAACAGTCACTGTTTTAGTTCGTGAAGACCGAAGAAAAAGCTGAGATTTCTAGTAGCCGTGGTTAAAGCTAGAAGGCAAATTCAGGCCAACTAAAGTCAGGCTCCAGGGAAACAAAAGCAGAGAAGCAGGAATCAAATGTCTGAAGAAGATGAAGTAACATGGGTGTGGAGAAAACGAAAACCAAGAATAGCAGAACTGAGGCGCACGAGCTTTGGGAGGAGTGAGTGCAGGCATCATTTCATTGCCGAATAAGCACTGCCGTCCATTTTTCTCTCCCTTTGTCGTTGGGGTGGTGTGGGATGGGCGTTGGGGGCCATCGGCTCTGTCCATCTGAATGTAACAGTATGTCTGGTCCTGAAAACTTTTACGTAGTCTCTTTCCTTTTTCTCTTCATCATGTGAGAGCCGGTTTATTTCATGGATTGATTTATTTGGAGATATTTATTCTCCATCAGCTATGTGCCAGGCTTTGGGTTAGGAGAGATTTAAATTGAAAAGACAGAGTTCTTTCCTTCAAGAAATGAGTATATAGAGAGACAGAACTACACAAGTAAAAGCATGAATTAAAAGTAGTATGAAGAATGCTTTTGGACATAAGCTGTTGGCGGAAGGGTACCAGTAGCTTCCAAGAGGGAATCTTAGGTTAAACATACCTTCCTCCTAAAGAGAGTCTTTAGCTGTGCAGCTAAAGAAACCTTCCTAGTCACTGTCAAATCATCTTGTTTGGTCTTAGTCATAAGCTTTATCACTACTTGATAGTTTCCTATTTATTTATTCACCTTCTCACTCTCATCTCTCTCTCTCTCTCTCTCTCTCTCTCTCTCTCTCTCACACACACACACACACACACACACATAAACTCCATGACTGCTAGTGCCTGGCATTTTATACATTCTCAATAAAAATTGAGTTGCCAACTGAGCTCATTTTGAAACAGATGGAATTAATCCCACAATAGACATGGTTGAGGGGATTTTCCAGATGCTGTGACATGTTCAAAAGCACGGGAGGCTGGAGGACTTATTCAGAGGACCACTGTTACTTTTAGAGAGGAGAGATTGGACTGGACTTTGAAGGCTCTTGTGTATTATAGTAAGGACTCTAGATTTTTTTAATGCTGAAGGCAGTGGGGAGTCACTGAAAACTTTTAAGTAGGGCAGTGATGATCTAATCACTGTCAGAAGTGTGAAGAATGACTTGAGCATTGGAAAGGCCCGAAGCAGAGAAGGCAATTAAAAAACTGCTGACATGTCCAACAGTCAGTTGAATATAAATGTCTAGATCTTATGTAAGAGATCTGGGCTGAAATACTAATTTGGGAATTATTAGAGAGTAGCTGAATGCAAAATAATAGATGAGTTCACCTAGAAAGAATGTATAGCGTGGGAGGAGAGAAAGTATGAACTTCTTGGCAACACCAACACTGAACAAGGAAGTAAGAGTGAACAAAGGAACCTGGAAAAGACCAAACAGAGGAATAAGAGAAGTAGCGTCTTGGAACCAAAAGCAGAAAAAAAAAGAAGTGAGTGAGCAACAGTATCACATAATACACTGATGTTAAGTATGATAAGCACTGAATGCCTTTTTAATTTTCTCCCAAAATACATTGATTTCTTTCTGGGTCTTAAGATAAGCAGAACCTATATTAGCATCTTAACTTGGAAGAACTTGTATACAGTTTAAAAAGGGGTCTCTAAGGAGACAACCAAGGTGAAATGTCACATCTTTGTTTTTCTGTGCTGGTTGTAGTTAAATGGTAGTGAGAGATCCCTTCCCCAAATCCCCAAAACTCATGGGATTACAGCATTTTGGTCTATATTTTTATGCTGTGTGTTTGTTAGTAGGTAATGTTATTTTATGCGTTGTCCCCAAATTTTACCTCTTACAGTATTAACACAAATGCCTATTATTTATTAAGATCTCTTAAGTTTTACATCTAAGCTTACATGGAGATACACTGTAAGAAAGTGCTGTTGACTGCCTGGATGAAAGGTAATTATATCCCACGGTAGCAGTAATCTCCCCTAGCCCTCCCTCCTTAGACGTCCCTCTTATATCTAGAGAACCCTCATAGTATCACTAGTACCAGTTTCTTTTGCCTGCTCCTCTGTCAAAACAGGCACTGCCAAGGGTATAGGAGAGTGTTGACTTCCTAGCCTTCCAAGATAAATGAGAAAAACTTACAGTGAGCACAGAAAGCTAAATATTAAAGGAACAAGAAGAAACTTGGTCATTGTAGAGGGCCTGAGGCTCTATATTTGAGGGGGGGGGGTATTTCTGCTTACCATAAATTTCATACCGTAGAGCAATTCTGCCAATTTTCTGTGCCGAGATTTGATTCCTGTCCATTGTGGTGGCACGTTTCCCCCAAGAATGCCTCTTTACTAGCATATTCTCTTCCCTCCTGGGGTCTTGTTAGGTCTGGTTCTGTAGGCAGCAGCTGGTAGGGAAGAATCCAGGACCAGGAGAACTATTAACAAGACCAGAAACACAGAACAAAGGCCATCTACCGCAGTGAGTCAAGCAGCCGAAGGGACGTCCCTGCTGAGAACCTGGACCCAGGTGTGAGTGGTTTGGAATGGGGATGTTCCAAACCCTAAAGTTTACAGAAAGATTTTAGACTAGATCCGAGTCAGATCCAGGGGAACTGTGATAAAGCAGAGTCCAAATCTAGAAGGACAGTGCAGACAGAACCCAGAGGAAAGCAGCACCGTCCAAGTCCACTCAGACAGTCAGAGAGGTGTGGGACTGAAGGTGTCGGAGATC